ACTCTGATGCACCACTCCTCTCTGTAACACACTCTGATACACCACTCTTCTCTGTAACACACTCTGATGCACCACTCTTTTCTGTAGCACACTCTGATGCACCACTCCTCGCTGTAATACACTCTGATGCACCACTCCTCACTGTAACACACTCTGATACACCACTCCTCACTGTAACACTGATATACTGTAACTCCTGCAATAGCTCTCCCTAATAAATGGCACCTCTCTGAATAGCAAGTTGTGCACTGGATTAGCCATTGAGACAGTTTTCCAATAGGTGCTGTTGTTAATGAGGCTGATTGCTGGGAAGTACAGTTGGATGATTCCTCTCATAGTACAGTTATACAATACAAAACGGCTAAAACTGTTCTGTATAACATGAACAAAAGAATATAAGCCTCTGAGGTCAACAAGATCTCAAGCAGTCCAGGTTATATTGAGCTGAGGATTATGATTTTGTCTTGCTTGAACTTGTATGTGCTTGCCCATCCCCGAAGGAACCCAAAATGTGTCAAGAATACCTGTGGGTGACTGGAGTATTTCAATGTGATCAGCTTTCTTCAATTTGAATCCTTTCAAGGGATGTGGGCAATGTTTTTCCATGCCACCCATTCCTAGGGTGTTAAGAGGCAGCCACATTTTGGTACCTGGAGTCATGTATGATATGAATTAGTTAGGGGCTGTAGGTTCACTTCCCTGAGAGCTGTTTGTCTTTTCTTAATATGCATTCATAACATCACAGAATCGCCACAGCGTGCATCCAGCTCATTGAGTACTACACCGCCCCTCCAAACAGCATCTCACCTAGACCCACGCCCCCGCACACCCTATAATCTGTGACCCTGCATCTCCCATGGCTAAACCACCTAGCCTGCACATCCCTGGACACTATGGGCAATTTAGCACGGCCATTCCACCCAGCCTGCACACCCCTGGACACTATGGGCAATTTAGCATGGCCAATCCACCTAACCTGTACACTTTTGGACTGCGGGAGGAAACCAGAGCACCCAGAGGAACCCACACAGGCACGGGGAGAATGTGCAAACTCCAGACAGACAGACAGTCACCTGAGACTGGAATTGAAGCCGGGTCCTGGGTGCTGTGAGGGTGCTAACCACTGAGGCATCATGCCACATGCTTTGACAGGTCATGGCTGGACCACCATCTATTGCTTATCTCTATTCACTGTGTTGGCAGTATCAGGGATTGCAGGCCTGATATCTGATGTGTGCTTTCTTTATTATGTATAGAATTAAAGAATGAAACAGCATAAAAAGAGGCCATCCAGCCCATTACATCCATGCTGGGCACAGCCATCCAATTAGCCCCACAATCCTGCTCTCTCCCCATTTCTCTAAATCCCCTTAAAGAGTTAGTGTGAATCAGCTTTTACCACTTGTTCAGGCGCTATATTCTAGAATATTAAGGACTGATGGGTGTGTTTCTGACTGATTGGGAAAGCAGTGGGGAATCTCATTAGTTGTGTGGGTGAGGTCTGATGGAATCAGATGTCCTTCAGGCACTGAAATGGTCACCTACGGGCCCTTTCCGCGATGGAGGTCCCACAGTGATGGAAGACCTGATGCCAGCAGCTGTCGGTCAATTAGAGACAGACAGCTACGTATTGCTGCCAGTGCCAATGTGGAGGTGGGGGCGCACAGTAGCTGCTGGCAGTCCAGATACAGATACCAGAGGCCCAGGAACAGACGTGGGCCTTGTGCGTCAAGGGTAGGCAGAGGTAAAGGTTGGGGGGTTGGGGTGGGCGGGGGGGGGGGGGGGGGGTGGGGGGGGGGAGGTGGCCAGAGGCAAGGGCAGGTTCTCTGATTTCCACTTGTTCCCCCACCGCCCTCGCTGATGCTGGGACTGCTGGGAGATTAACCCCATGTGTAACAGGTGTTGTTAATTCCCAGGGTCGGAGATTGATACACAATCCAAACAGAGATTTACTGTATCCAGAGTAGAATTGCACACTCATTTTACTTTCCATATCTCCAGAGAAATGTTATTTCTGAATGCTCAGTTGCCTATTTACAACATTAATCACATATGGTTTACCCTTTAAGTCAACATTTAACCAGAATGAATACAACCAGGCTCAGCCATTAGGTAATGTTTGGACAGTGATAGACAAACCAGGATTTCCTGTAAATGAAACATCACAGCCAGGCATCCATCAGAATACTCCCATAGGATTACACCCATCACATTACACCTGTCAGAATACTCCCATCGGAATACTCCCTTCGGAATACACACATCAGAATACACCCATCGGGATACTTCCATCAGAATACACCTATCGGAGGACTCCCATTGAAATATGCCCATTGGAATATCCCCATTGGATTACACCCATCGGAATACTCCCATTGAAATATACCCATTGGAATATCCCCATCGGAATGCTCCATTGAAATATACCGATTGGAATATCCCCATCGGAATGCTCCATTGAAATATACCGATTGGAATATACCCATCGGAATGCTCCATTGAAATATACCGATTGGAATATACCCATTGTATTACACCCATCGGATTACACTCATCAGAATACTCCCATTGGGATACACCCTTCGGAATACACCCATCAGAATATTTCCATGAGAATACACCTATTGGAATACTCCCATTGAAATATACCCATCGTATTACACCCATTGGATTATACCCATTAGATTACACCAATCAGAATACACCCATCAGAACACACCTATCAGAAAATACACCCATTGGAATACACCCATCAGAATACACCAATCAGAATATCGGATTACACTCATTGGATTACATCCATTGGATTACACCCAGTGGAATATACACATTGGAACACACCCATCTGAAAACAGCCATCCAATACACTTCAACACAACGCATGTGGGAGTTGGTTAGCTCAGTGGGCTGGATGACTTGTTTGCAATGTAGAGTGATATCAACCCATCGGAATATTTCCAACAGAATACACCTAGTCCTGTTGAAATACACCCATCGGATTACACCCATCATATACTCCCATTGAAATATACCCATTGGAATATACCCATTGGAATATACCCATCATATTACACCCATTGGATTACACCTTTCATAACACACTCATCAGAATACACCAATCAGAATGTTCCCAATAGAATACAACTATTGCGTTACACCAATCTGAATACGCCCATCATAACACACCCATCAGAATATACCAATCAGAATACTACCCATAGGAATAGTCCCATTGGAATACACCCATCAGAATATACACATCGGAATACACCCAGTGGAATATACACATTGGAACAAGCCATCTGAAAACAGCCATCCAATACACTTCTACATAATGCGCTTGGGAGCTGGTTAGCTCAGTGGGCTGGACGGCTTGTTTGCGATGCAGAGTGATATCAACATCACAGGTTCATTACATGTATCACCACGGTCAGCCCTTGCCTGACAGCCTCATGTTAAATCATCACCAGTCATCTCTCCCAATGAGAGACTGGCTCTAGCTTTTGGCAGTCTTATGGCAATTTTACTTCATAATTCGCCCATCAAAATTCAGAATTCACGTCCTAGCAAACACCTATTCCCTGGAGCAGGGGTTCACAAAAACATAATCAGAGGTTGAACCTAGCTCTCAATGCAATTTTCATGAATTAGTAAATCTGGTTTTGCTCAATTCCCTCTCGAACAAAACTAAAGCATTAACTACTAAAAATCTCAAGGGATGAAATCGTCTCCTGGAATAGCCCAGAAACACTGCATCAATTGGTCATTAAGGCATGTAGCAATTATAAAGAATTGTATCTTGCTGTGGTACAGTGGGATGTCAGGTTTTGCTCAGGCACTTTTACGCACACTGTGATAGATGACCGTAGAAACGACTTCCCTGGGTCAACATCACAACTCTGACTGAAGATATCATATATCTGGCCCTGCTCATGTGAACAACATCTTACAGACCAATGGTTGAACAAGTTGGGAAACACTCAACTGTAACCATTCCTTGGTCCATTAGTTTTTATGGTTTCTGTTCAAATATAGCAGGTTCCTTTGCTCTTAAACCGAACATTCAGCAATTCCAAGGAGTCATTAAATAACAGTTATAAATATGCAGAGCTTGACATTACAGTACGGTTCTATTTACTAAAACAACAAGGTCAATGCTATGGCACAATAAACTCTAAAATCAAAGGAATATTTGATTAGGGTTATAAATGGAGGTGAAGATTTAGCGGGGGGGTGGTGTGGGGTGGGGGATCTTTGGTTTTTTTGTTGACTGAAATTATCCTCTCTCCCAAAATTTCCAGCAATGTGGTTCACAGCCTCGATTGAGAAAAGTCCATTTTTGAAAAGTTACTCGGGTGTTTCGCCTGTAGTATACCTTCGTGGGCTCAGTCCTTCCTAACCACCCGAGCAGAGTTCAGGCAGACTTTATGTGTCGGCCGGGATGTGTCTGGGTGTCCTGTTGCGTGGCTTGCTCTTAGCTCGCCGACCCCCTTCCCCCACGTACTTCCACTTGTTCACCATCATCTTGCGCTTTTTCCGCTGCTTCTCATTGCACCAGACCCGCTCGCAGTACTCCTCCACGCGGTGCAGGTTCGAGTAGCCGATCAGCTGCATGATGTCCTTGAACCATGGCTTCTGGCTGTGCAGTCGGCGGGGCTGTGTGACACACGGGCGGTTAGCATGCTCCTCATCGTCGCGGCCGAAGATCTCGTCTAGCTGCTCGCTCTCGATCACCTCCAGCGAGATCTTTCTCACCGTCTGGGTGAAGCCGTGCTCCATCGTTTTGCAGTAATACATCCCCTCGTCCATTCGGTATATCCTTCGGAATAAGAGGCCGTGCTCGGTTTTGATGATCCTGTCATCGGTTTTCACCTGCGGGAAGCCAACAACGTGCATTTGTATACCGCCATTTCAGTCTGAGCAGAGTCAAAGAGCAGGCGCTGTACAGGCTAGTTAGCTTAACATTTATCATAGGGAAAATGTTAGAAGCTTTATTCTTTTCCCCTTTATTCATTTACGGGATGAGGGCGTCGCTGGCTAGGCCAGCATTTATTGTCCATCCCTAATTGCCCAGAGGGCAGTTCAGAGTCAACCACATTGCTGTTGGTCTGGAGTCACATGTAGACCAGACAAGGCAAGGATGGCAGTTTCTTTCCCTAAAGGACATTAGTGAACCAGATGGGTTTTTCCAACAATCGACAGTGGATTCATGGTCATCATTAGATTGTTAATTCCAGATATCTTATTGAATTCAAATTCCACCATCTGCCATAGTAGTATTCGAACCCAGATCCCCGGAATATTATCTGGGTCTCTGGATTAACAGTCCAACGATAATACCACTGGGCCATCACCTCCCCATAATTAAGAATCGTGGATGTATTGTACCTTCACCTCCCCAAGTTAGCATGATCAACGATTGACTGGCTAACAAGAAAAGGAGAGGAGGCATAAATGGGTCATTTTCTGCTTGGCAAGGTGTAACATGTGGCATGCCACAGCAATCAGTGTAGGGGCCTCATCTGTTTACATAGCCAGAAGGCATTTGATAAGGTGCCACATTTAAAATTAATGTATAAAATTTTACAGGGGATGGTATGTTTTTTTATTCATTGGACGTAGCTATCATTGACTGGACCAGCGTTTATTGCCTATCCCTAATTGCCCCGAGGGTATTAAGAGTTAACGACATTGCTGTGGGTCTGCAATGACATGTATGTTTGACTGGGTAAGGATGGCAGATTTCCTTCCCTAAAGGACATTGGTTAAAATGTCCATGCCGACTAGATATCCTAAACTGATCTAATCCCACTCAACAGCATTTGGCCCAAATCCTTCTAAACCCTTTGTATTCTCTGCTGACTTGATGAAAAATATATTGCCAAGCATGCACATGAGGAAATGGATCAGAGGGATTTAAAGGCAAAGCTGCCAGCCAGTAGTTTGGTATATTTTATGATGAGATATAAAATGTACAGTTAGGTTGCAGTGAGGATGATGAAGAGAGGTGAACAAAACAGCAGAAAAAGTGAGAAGCATGGACTGGACGTTTGAAAGCATTACATAAAACCCTTGCAAACAAAGTTTGTGCAGACATAGAAACTAGTGTGATCTCTGCCTAGATCTGAGATGTAAACTATATAACAGCTATCCCATGAGATACAGTCATAGAATCATACAGCATGGAAACAGACCCTTCAGTCCAACTTGTCCATGCTGACCAGATATCCTAAATTAATCTCGTCCCATTTGCCAGCATTTGGCCCAAATCCCTCTAAACCCTTCCTATTCATATACCCATCCAGATGCCTTTTAAATATTATACTTGCACCAGCCTCCACCACTTCCCCAACCATTAAATGGTTCCACTCACCTCATCTTTCATATCATCCACAGCTCGCTGTACGAACCATTTGACGGTGGCCTGAAGAGACTTTGGGATGCATTCAAGAAAGGTGCTGTTGTGTTCAGTGCCATACACCACACTCTCCTCCGCACTATCAAACTCTTCTACTGTGAATGATTAAAAGCACGATGCTTTAAAAACAATCAAAGTTGTTCTTCAGGTTATGCTTAAATCAATGAGGCTCAAATCTCCAAATGGACATTTGCGTTTTGTCCGCGAGTACAGAATATTACAGTGCAGGAGGAGGCAACTTGGCCCTGTATGTTGCCAGGCTTTGAAAGATCTATCTAATTAATCCCACTCCTTTGCTCTCTCCTTGTAGTCCAGGCTTTTCTATTATTAACTACCTTTCCTCCTGAAATTTCTTTTGAATCTGCTTCCACTGCCCTGTTGGATAGAACCTTCTACATCATAATGCCTGGCTGCATCAGAATTATTCTCAATTTCTGCATAGCTCTTCTGTTAATTATGTTCAAGTGGTTTGATTCCTCACTCTTCATTAGTGTTTGAGAATATAACGGTCAGGAATAGGAGTAGGCAGTCTTCAGAGAGTCAGTGTGGGCCAAATGGCCTGCTTCCATGCTGTGGGATTCTATGATTACTGATTAAAAATCTGTCTATCTCCTCCTTAAATTCATGCAGCGTCCCAGCATCCACCACAGCAGTTAATTCCACAGATTCATGACCCAGAATTTGTGCCGATCTGTTTTAAATCTGCCCACCCTTTAGCTTAAAACCGTGGCCTCATGTTCTAGACTATCCCAGAAGGGAATCATCCCCTCTATGTCTATTTTGTCAATCCCCTTTAGCATCATCTACACGTCAATTAAATCCCATTTCATTCTTTTAAACCCTGAAGAATATAGAGCCGAACTGTTCAAACTCTCCTCAGTAGATAAGCCTTTCGCCTCTGGAACTAGTCCAGTGAACCTTCTCTGAACCACCTCCAATGCAATTACATCCTTTGTTATTTGCTCCTGTCTTTTGTCAATGTTGACAATTTTCTCCAAGTACAGGAGATGGTTAGGTTTTATGTATCATTTCTTGACAAACTCTGAACCAAGAAATGGGTACAAAGAGTAGAGGTCAGCCTGGGTAGGACACAAAATCCATGTTAATAGGAAAGATGAGGGTAGACCGTTGCAGTATACATTGTCCTTCTTCCCCGTGTTCAGCTCCTCCACCCACAGGGATTAATCTTTTTTTGGAGGCGAGACCAGGAGGAATGTCCCTGACTCTTTATGGTCTGTGTGGCAGGTCCATGTGCCTTCTGACATTGTTTAAGAGAGTGGAATGTCAAGCACTGGGATGCCATGTAGCCAACAAGCTAATTGGTAAAGCCCAGAATGGCATCATGATGGGTTTCAGTTTGCAATGTTGGTTCTGACCTCCAAACAAACTGAGACCTGAACAGACACTTGGTACCATGTGGGCAGTGCGTGCATTGAGAACTGCAAAGGGCATGGGGACTTTGAAAGAGAACTGTTATCACTAAAATATTACACCCTGGAGTTTTTGTTTTAAAAACCGAATTAGGTCCCAAATATTAATTTGAGGCTGTGTTAAGGAGAGGGCTTTTAAGAAAAAGGCAAATGTAATTACTTTTGTTCGTGGCGAGCTCTAGATAAGAGTGGGAGGGGAAGTCAAGGGAGCGGGGGTGTGGGGATTGGAAGCAGGGAGTGAGAGAGGTCTGAAAGAGGGAGGCTTAGCAAAGGACCCGACATAAAATAGGTCACATTCATCTGCTTTCTTCTTGGATTGATTCTATTTATCCAGTTCAAATCTTCCTGTTCTGTGCATCCTTCCCTGACAGAAAGGGTGGGAAAATGATCTTCAGCCAGACCTTTGCTGATGTTGCTCAGTATCTGGCTGCCCTGCGTGTGACTTTGTCGTTTCAGCACTGTTCTTCTCCCTCTGAGAGAGAGCACCTGACAAAACACTGCAGGCTGGGAACTTGCCACTTGAGCCTGGCTCACAGGCCCAGCATCTTACTGCGAGGAACATTCTCGCGAAAAAAAACATGGCTGCGCAGTAAACAGCAGGAACCAGAATGAGGAAAAGAACATTTTTATTAAGGTGTTAAAATAGATCTTTTTAAAAAGAAACCAGAGTATTTAATGACTGACAGCTCCCAGGCCTGGATTTAATTGTAGCTCAGATTAATGGCCTGAAGAGAAACCTTTATTTAGGAAATGAGTCTTTATGATCAGGACCCAGTTGTTAGCAAGAATTGGTTTAAAATACAAAATAGTTTGAAACTCTAAATCACCCACATGCAGGTCCCTGGATGGATTTGTTTGAGGCTGGAATGGGAAAGCAATTCAAGGTTTGAAGGGCCCTGACCCGAAACGTCAGCTTTCCTGCTCCTCTGATGCTGCCTGGCCTGCTGTGTTCCTCCAGCTCAACACTGTGTTATCTCTGACTCCAGCATCAGCAGTCCTTGCTATCTCTGAGCTTTTAGTTGTCTCTCAATCCAGTCTAGGAATGTTTGATCCTACAGAAGGGTTCGCGACAGGAAAAGATTCGATTTCCTGACCCGAACGTCCCCTACCTAGGTAAACATGAAAGAGAAAAAAGGACAACCCTTTACGCTAACCAGAATAGTGTCTGAACTGAACAGGAACAAATCCTGCTGAGAAACAAAATGAGACACACAGCACTATGGATGGGAGACACTAATCCTCAGGACCCACTTGTCAATTTAAGCAACACGGGAATTAGGAGTAGCGGGGAGGCCATTCAGCCCATCGGGTACTACTTCAATAAGCTCATGGTTGATCTGATGGTGGCCTCACCTACTTCCCTGCCTATCACCGTTAAACTCTGACTCTCTTATCCATCCAGAATCTGTCCCACTCAGCCTCAAAGCGTATTCGATGACTCTGCCTCCTCTATCAATCTCCAGGGAATAGAATTCCACACACTCTCAATATGAAAGGGAAAGAAACCTCCTCATCTCCTCGTTAAACAATTGACTCTTTATTGAAAGACTCAGTCCCCTCATTTCATGAGGGGAAAGTTCCTCTGAGCATCTACCCTATTTGCATCTCATATATGACATCTCTCCCTCCCTGGTTGGATTTGCACATTGCCCATTAATCTCACCACAGAGACATTACCTTGATACCAGGTGCCATGGGTTTAAGGGGCAAGGGGCAAGGTTTAAAGGTGATGTACGAGGCAAGTTTTTTACACAGAGGGTCGTGGGTGCCTGGAACTCGCTGCTGGGGAAGGTAGTGGAAGCAGATACTATAGTGACTTTCAAAGGGCTTCTTGACAAATACATGAATAGGATGGGAATAGAGGGATACAGTCCCCGGAAGAGTAGGCGGTTTTCGTTGTGACGGGCAGCATGTCGGTGCAGGCTTGTAGCGTCGAAGGGCCTGTTCCTGTGCTGTAATTTTCTTTGTTCTTTCTTTTCGTTCTATATGTCGAAAGGTCACTGGTGGATGCAGTAGAAAGGAGGGAGATTGGAAGCAGAGGTGTAGTTATCCTTACCAATCAGACTCTGATCCAGACACTGGTGAATCGGGTTACCGTTCCAAATATCTTGTCTTCGGAAACGTCTAAACAAAGAGAGGAGGTGAAGTGAATCTCAAGCTCTTTAATACAATCTCGCCAAGGAGATCAGATCTTCAGTTACAGGCCTTTCGCTCTCAAATTGTGTCCTTGTGCTGTAGCACTTACCATATTCAGCATTCTGGTACCTCTGTAAATGCTGTGAGTGAAGTGCTAGTGGGTTAAGTTGGGGAGACAGCGGTGTTTCACTGAGCTAGTAATCCAAAACCCCAACATGGGTTCAAATCCCGCCATGACAGATGGCCTAATTGGAATGCAATAAAAGTCTGGAATTAAAAAATGGCTAAGCTAATGGAAATAGTTGATTGCCCTAAAAACCCAGTTGGTTCATTAATGTCCTGCAGGAAAGGAATATGCCATCCTTACCTTGTCTGGTCTACATGTGACTCCAGACCCATGGTAATGTAGTTGACTCTCAATGACCCTCTGCCCTACCAAGCTCCCATGCTGGCACAGACAGTGAGGCCCATATTTTAAAGAAGTCCCCTTGCCCTAATAGTCCTATAGGTGAATACATCATGTTCTGTGGACTTGAATCACATGGGTTGGAAAGAACATCATGCGTGACAATTTTGACAGGTGGGCAGGAGGGCAGTCTATAATTGGCCATGCTAAATTGTCCATAATGTCCAGGAATGTGCAGGCTAGGTAGATGAGAAATGGGAAACGCAAGGGTTACAGGGATAGGATAGGGTGGTGGGTCTGGGTGGGATGTTCTTCAGAAGGTTGATGTGGACTCGATGGGCCGAATGGCCTGCATTCACACTGTAGGGATTCTATGATTTCTACAGTGAGTGACTAACCTGTGTTGGGGCAGATGGCCCAGCTATTTAGAATGGGAAGGACCTTGGTAACATGCCAACTATAGGAGGTTAGATTGGGGTACGGAGAGGGGGTGGTTGGTCTAAAACCGTGGGGTATTGTGGGCGGGTGGGTGGGTAGGCAGTGGCAACTGGGGATGCCTGCTTGGTTAGGCTTACGCGAAACATTGGCATGTAGGGATGGGAGTCAGTGTTCCCTTCTGTTGCCACAAGGTACACTCACAGCTCCCCTGACTCTCACAGAGATACGTTTTAAATTGACACAGCCATTTCAATGGTCTGAGCCGTTGTGAGGAACTTCCTGGTTAGCATGGGTTTGGAGTCCCATTAACACAGAGGGGTGTCTTAAGGGTCACCTAAGAAAGATCTTAAAACTGCACCTTATGGATGGCTCACTCTCTCCATTTTAACCGCTCCTCCAATAACATGGATTCAACATGTCACCAAAGAGGAGTCATATTGGACTCGAAACATCAACTTTGTTCCTCTCTCCACAGATGTTTCCAGACCTGCCGAATTTCTCCAACAATTTCTGCATTTATTTCATATCTACAGCATCTACAATATATTGCTTTCATTCATCTTCTGTTGGCCCACTTATGAGTTAGCCCCTGGTCTACACAGATCGAACTGAAGGCAGTGCCTGGCAGTGCAATGGACTTCACCGTCCAGATACAGAAGAGGACAACCCTCCAGGGTCATCCCTTCTGATGACTCCCTAGCAACCGGTCCTGGGGAATACACTCACTAGCATCAGTTTGAGGGTCGTGCTTGTGGTCAAGAAGTGCTAGCACTGTAGGCTAGCCCATGGAACATGGTGCCCATTGCTGGGAGTGGGGGCAGGTACAGGTGAATGGAGAGAGGAGTAAATGACTTGTTGAAACTCATGGCACACTTGTGTAGAGTCATTCCTGTAGACATGCCATTCAATACTCAAGATCAAAGAGGTTTGCTGGTTTGGTGGTTACCGATGCTGCCTCACAGCACCAGGGACCCAAGTTTGATTCCACCCTCGGGCGACTGTCTGCGTGGAGTTTGCACATTCTCCCCGTGTCTGTGTGGGTTTCCTCCTGCAGTCACAAAGATGTGCACGGTAGGTGAATTAGCCATAGAAAATGCAGGGTTACAGGGATGGGGTGGGATGCTGCTCAGATGGTCAGTGTAGACCTGCTGGGCAGAATGGCCTTTTTTTTCAGCACTATATGATCAGAGGTCACAGACTCATTGCTCCATAATTATCCAGACTGTGCTCAAAGGATAAATAGAATTGTCCAACATGTATTAACCATACGTGAACACAGACACAGATTTGTATGCTCCTCCCATTTGTAATGTATTCATATAAACCAGCCTCTATGGGTGCGCTTGTGGCACAGTGGTAGTGTCTCTACCTCTGATCCAGGAGGCCCAGGTGCAAGTCCCATCTGCTCCAAGGGGCATGCAATGACGTCTCTGAGCAAGTTGATTGAACCTATCTAAGCCAGCCTGCACCATGCACATACACACGTTATTTCTGAGCCAGTGAAAGGACTCCAGTCTACCAGACACAGTACCTTTTAGCAGCTGGCTGGTATCTGGTACAGGAGCTTCCATCCCAGGCACAATAGGGGTCTCTGGCGAGGCAGCACTCAGCACATGCATTGCCGTAAGTCTCACACTGATGGAGCTTCACCTGGGCGACCCCTACCCTCGAGCCAATGTACAGCTGCTGCTGCAAGGTAGCGGAAGACACGAGAAGATTGTTAAATGGCAAACAACACGAAAATTCTACATCCAGCAAACGAACACCGCGGCATCAAATGGAGACTGTTACTTACCCGTTTCACTGAGATCTCCATGGACGTGATAGGATTCGGAATCTGGCAACGTGAAAATAGAAATCATCATTGGACATCTGCGTATCTCTCCCTTTCCTGGAGAATAACCCCGGAGATCGGTGGATAGAATGGTTAAGTTGGGAAAGGGAACGCTTGCCTTTTATTAGTCGAGGCACAGTGTTTAAGAGCAGTGAGGTAATGGCGGAACTATGTACAACTAGAATACTGTATGAAGTTCTGGGATCCACATTATAGGAGGGATGTGTTTGCACTGGAGAGGGTACAGAGGAGATTTACCAGGATGTTGCCAGGGCTGGGGAGTTTCAGTAATGAGGAGAGATTCAACACACTGGGGTTGCTTTCATTAGAGCAGAGGCTGAGAGGGGACATGGTTAAAAATGTATAAAAGCCTCAGAATTAGGATCCAATATAACTTGATGGTAAAATGAATACCTTAAACACCTGGAGTTCTTCGAGGATAACTTCCTCACTCTGTACTGCGTTACCCTTCTGCAGGGCAATTGTCTTCAGGACTACCCCAGTATCTGCAGGGAAAGAAAATACCGACCACTTCAGAAATTCCTGTTCACAAAATAGCACGGCGAAGAACTGAAGGGAACAAGGAAAGGTCATTGAATATTGTTGCTCATCTTGCCCGTGCTTCTTCGCCTGTTGACATTTTGTGGACTTCCTTAACTCTTACATCTGATTAGTTTCTCCCTGGCTTTTGCCCTGCCAGGTGAGCAGAGGAGATTCCATGACATTATTTCAAGGAAGAATCACAAAATTGTTGCCAGTGTCATGGCTAACATTCATCCCTCAATCAACTGTACTTGGGTAACGGATTACCTGGACACCATCACATTGCTGTTTATTGTGGGATCTTGCTGCACACAGACTGGTTGCCACATTTTCTGTGTTACTGTAGAAGCTGCAACTTCATTGACTGTAAAGCACTTTGGGATGTCCTGGGTTTGCGACATATAACTGCAAGTCCCTCATCTCTTTCCTCATCCCCACACTGCCCCTCTTCCTGAATCCCAGTGTTTGCTGATTCAAGAGTTACAATGTAAAATCTCACATGATCATTTTGCATGGAGTGGGCCATGCCATGAGGGCCAGTTAAATCAAGCTGGATGGCTGGTTTACGATGCAAAGACACATCAACCAGGCGCAGGTTCAATTCCTGCTTTGGCTAAGGTTACCATGGACACTTGACATGTGGTCACCCGCATGTTAAACTCACTCCCAGCTGTTTCTCTCTAATGAAAAAATGACACTCTGGGACTACGGCCAGTTTTATGGCACAGGGTACTGGTGTAGGAAGAGTTACCAACTCCCCACCTACAGATGAGCAAGGTACCCATCCCATTCTAATTTACTATTATGAGGGGGCATAATTTTAAGGTGATTGGAGGAAGGTATAGGGGAGATGCCAGAGGTAGGTTCTTCACACAGAGAGTGTTGGGCATGTGGAATGCGCTGCCGGCAGTGATAGTGGAGTCAGATAGTTTAGAGACTTTTAAGCGACACTTGGATAGGAACATGGAGGATAGTAAAATGTAGGGTATGCAGGGTAGACTGATGTTAGTAGTATAATAGGTCGGCACAACATTGTGGGCCGAAGGGCCTGTACTGTGCTGTACTGTTCTATGTTCTATGCACTTCAGGAAGACTTCACTTTTTGCTTAAAACTAAACTAGGCCTCAAGCATGTTAAGTTATATTGCGTAGTGACAAAGTCCCGGGGCTAATAATCCAGAGTCTCATCCTAATTGTGTAAAAGCGAGTTCAAATTTCACTGAGAGATAACAAGAACTGCAGATGCTGAGTCAAAGGCTGACGTTTCAGGTTGGTACCCTTTCCTGCTCCTCTGATGCTGCCTGGCCTGCTGTGTTCCTCCAGCTCCACACTGTGTTGTTTCAAATTTCACTGTGGTGGCTGATGGAGTTTAAATTCAACTGGTAATATCTGGAAACAAAACCTAGTTTAAGTAATGGCGACCATGAAATTATATTCAACTGCTGTAAAGGCCCATCTGGTTCACTAACGTGCTTTGGAGAATAAAGTTGCCATCATGGGCTCAGGGATCGAAAATCAATTGTGGCCTTGGGAGACTGTGAATGTAGAGTTTACACATTCTCCTTGCGTCTGCATGAGTTTCACTTGGTTTCCTCCCACGGTCCAGAGATGTGCAAGTTAGGTGGTTTGCCCATGCTAAATTGTCCCTTAGTGTCCAGGGATATGCAGGTTTGGTGAGGTAGCCATGGGAAATATGGGGTTATACAGTAGGGGGCTGGGTCTAGGTGGGAAGCTCTTCGGAGGGTTGGTGCGGGCTTGATGGGCCGAATAGCCTCTTTCAGCAGCGTAGGGATTCTACGATTTGTAGCCAGTCTGACCCATACGTGACTCTAGACCCAGGCAAAGTGAGGGTCCCGACCCGAAACGTCAGCTTTCCTGTTCCTCTGATGCTGCCTGGCCTGCTGTGTTCCTCCAGCTCCACACTGTGTTACCTCTGACTCCAGCATCGGCAGTTCTTACTATCTCTGATTTATTCTTAATTTGTTTGACTCTGGAATGGCCCAGTGAGCCACTCAGCTCATGGGGCAATTAGGAATGGGCAACAAATGCTTACCTTGCCCCAAATCCTACATCTCGTGAAGGAATTAAATGGAACCCACCACCCAGCGTTGCTCATCTCCTGTTGCATAACTGGAATTAGCAAAAAAAATGGCCTGCTCCCATACTCTCAGTCGCAGAGTGTAAAAAAAATTAGATTAAAAAACTGAGGAAACAAAGGAATCCGGGTGAGTGATTGTTGTTGACATTTCCTGGGCTGTTTGTTGAGTTGTCTGCTGCGGGCCCTTGTCTGGTTCTGACCTCACACGGTCACATCACCAGGCTTTCATTTGTTAATTCTGACATTTGCAACGCTAAGAAAAGACATTCCAGCGCAAGGCTAACAAAGAGCTCAGTGACAGAGCAACCCCAAGCACTGTGCCACTTTATGTAAGAATGTCGGTAGGAGTGGCCAAGGGAATTTGTTTAGAATAGTCACACCAGGGGATCATTGGAAATAAAACACGGCTCAGCTTAAACATTTCAGGGCTCGGGGCTATATGGCTATGGGAGGGTGGGCTTCTACACAGAGAATCCAATACCCTCTCTGATCTGCCAGGATGTCTCACTGGTGGAGAGGGAGACCAGTGGTTTGACCTCGGAAAATTAGCTCCCCAAATGTCAGAGTTGAATGAGAAATAAGTTCTCAACGCATGTTTATGGAAGTGGCATTGTTCGCTGAAGGAGGCAGAAGAACTGCTACTAATTTCTGAAGAAGGGTCTAGGCCCGAAATGTCAGCCTTCCTGCTCCTATGATGTTGCTTGGCCTGCTGTGTTCATCCAGCTCTACACCTTGTTATCTCAGAACTGCTACTCTGTCCACTTATCGTGCAGCTTCAGGGACAATGAATCCACAGCTTGGACTGAAGAAAAAGTGAGATAGGAGACTGAATATTATTTAAGAGATGTGGAGGTGCCGGTGTTGGACTAGGGTGGACAGAGGTCAGAACTCACATGACACCAGGTCATAGTCCAATAGGTTTATTTGAAATCACAAGTTTTCAGAGCGTAGCCCCTTCGTCAAGTGAAAGCTCTGACAACTTGTGATTTCAAGTAAATCTGTTGGACTACAACCTGGCATCATCTGATTTCTGACATTATGTAAGTGAGTCGAGATTGAAGATAAATGTGGTGCAGTGCGTAGGGTCCCTATCCCAGAGCCTAAAGAATTAGCTCATGTCCCACCCTGTGACAGAGTGGTCAAGGAATGTATGTTCACTATGTGGCCAAACAGCTTGAGTATTAACTTGCATGTGGCCTGAGTATCAACCTGTGAATCCTTTCAATACGTGCCAAGGACAGGCCACAAGTGCGTGAGAGATTCCTGGTCAATCATGCCTTGAAAAGACATCAAAGCCTCATCTATCACTGTCCATGGTTTCATACGGCAACACAAGAGTGTTGGTTAGCTCTGTTGGCCGAACAGCTGTGATGTAGAGTGATACCAACAGTGTGGGTTTGATTCCCACAGTGTCTGAGGGTGCCATGAAGGTCCCATCTTCTCAAACTCTCTCCTAGCCTGTGATGATACATAACAACTGGCCTTAATATGCAAAGCTCACCCACACTCCCAAGCTAAGCTCTTGTTACATAGACAGGACTGACGTAGTACAATATCAAGGCAGCCCCTACAGTACATTTATGAAATCCCAGACTGGAGAGCTTTCACAGGCACAGTCCTGTCTCAGACTGTGGCCAGAATACACAACTCACTGTCACAACGAGATAGTAAGAACTGCCGATGCTGGAGTCTGAGATAACACAGTGTGGAGCTGGAGGAACAAAGTAGGCCAGGCAGCATCAGAGGAGCAGGAAAGCTGACGTTTTGGGTCGATTTCTGAATAAGGGTCCCGATCCAAAACGTCAGCTTTCCTGCTTCTCTGATGCTGCCTGGCCTGCTGTGTTCCTCCAGCTCCACACTGTGTTATCTCTATCACAAGGAGCACTTGAAGTGAATAGCACAGATACGTTTTAATGGGGGAACCAGACAGACATGTGAAGGAGAAAAGAACTGAAGACTGAGTTGCTAGAAGAGAGGTAGGAGTGAGATCACAGGGTAAACATCAGGACTGACCTGTGGAGTTGATTTGTCAGGACTGTTAATAGTGTTTCTTTGTTTTTCTGCTCTTTATTAACAAGGACTGTAAGGTGTAACTTTCTGTACTGAGGTACCTTTGTACCTTAGATGCTGCTGTAAGTTGGAACTCGTAAACTGTTCACTGTAACCATGTGAGTACATATGACAATAAAGCTAATCCAATTCAAGACTGTACATTCTATGCCATGCTAAAATGCTTTAAAAGGATTGACTTCAGCGGTATTCAGCATACCTGTTCCAATGAACATGACATCGTACTGCCCGTCTTCTGCCTCTACCCGGTCCACCACAATCTGTGTCATCTTGTACTGGACGTTGGTTTTAATGAGCACTGGATGCTGATTGATAGGGTTCACCGACTGGAACATTAGAGGGTGGCTGCGAGCGAAATGGAGCACATCATCTGGGTAATCCTTGGTGCTGGTGTACATCCGACTGGGCTGCGTGGTGATCTTACTGGGACACTGTGGAAGAAAAGATGAAAGCGAAAGAACCCCTGTTAGAATGGAAGCAAGAGACAGGTTTTATCACTAGGTTGTCCGATATACACCAGTACTTCTTAAAAATTGAGGTGCTTCAGAAAAGGGTGGTGAATGTCTGGGATCGGAAGTTATGTGGGACAAGCATTAACAGTTAATCAAAAGCAAAAGCCACTGGGACATAGTAGGAACTGCCGATGCTGGAGTCTGAGATAACACAGTGCACTGCTGGAGGAACACAGCAGGCCAGGCAGCATCAGAGGAGCAGGAGAGCTGACGGTGGGTCCTGACCCACGGCCTGGCCCACGGGGGCATGATGCCCGAGCTGGGAAAGAAGCGATGACTTGTCAAATACTCCAAGGGTTAGCGTTCAATCATGGCAACATGGGGTTTGCAACATGTCCTGGAGTTTCCTGTCATGTTGACATTGTTGGCAAGACCAGAATTTATGGTCTGTTCCTGGTCACACTTGAGCTTTCTACATGAGCCACAGTACACTGTAGCAGTCTGATACAGCAGCTGGCTCACTCAGCCATTTCACAGGGCAGTTAAATGTTAAGTCACATTGACGTTGCACTTGGAGTAACGATAGACCAGACCAGGTAAAAATGTCAGGTCTCTTCCCGTAAAGCACACCAATAAGCAAATTAGAGATAACACAGTGTAGAGCTGGATGAACACAGCAGGCCAAGCAGCATCAGAGGAGCAGGAAGGCTGACATTTTGGGCCTAGACCCTTCTTCAGAAAAGAAAATGAGCAATGAGCAAATTAGTTTCTTTTACAAAAATGAACATCATTGTTGCCTTTTTAGCAGTGCAAACACTGTTTTAAAAAATTGAATTCAAATTCCCAATTGGCTACAGTTGGGTTGGAATTCATGTGCCATGGATTATTTCTCCAGGATGTAGAATACTTGCAAAAAATTCTTACTCAGAACACAAAGATCGAAGCAAAAGGAACATGATGCCCTTCTAAACTGCCTCCACGCAGCCCATATCTATTTACTGTTGAGAATAGAAAGGGTCAAAGGTCACATAAAACCAGGTTACCGTCCAGCAGATTTATTTGAAATCACAACCTTTCAAAGTGCTGCCCTTTCTTCATGCAAAGTAAAGAGAGCACCCAGGTACAGACTTTATAATCAGAGAGATCAAAAGATCATACAAACGGTGTGAATAAAGTGTCGACAGGCCGAATAAACAGGTCTCTGCAGATGATCAAGTGTGTCAGACGATGTGAGTAAAGTGAGTGAAACTAAATAACAAGTGAAGGGATGACCTATAATCTGATTAATTGAGGCAGACAGATAGACTAGAAGAGCCTTTATTGTCATGTGCACTTGAATGAGTGCAGTGAAAAGTTTGTAATGTCACCTCACACCATCTTCAGTGCAAGGTACCCCGGTATAGATACTTTAAGTGTTTCCCAGATGTGAAGTAGTTAAAAAAAAGATCAGCATGGGATCACAGAGCTTAAAAGCCCAGAATGAGAATCAAAAGTACCTATAAAGTACACAAGTTATAACCTTTATAGTCCTTTCCCAAAATGAGTCCATGCCGACCGGGCTTTAGAAAAAGAGGCCACGCTGGCCTCCAGCCAGGACTCGCTCCGTTCCCACTCCGGGGTTCGGCCTGTGACCCGGCCAGCGTTAGCTCTGCTGCCACTCTGGGATCCCGCCCTGCTGCCCGCTCCAGGATCCAGGACCCGGGCTCCAGACACAGCTCGTCCCACTCCCTGCTCCAGGACCCGGGCTCCAGACACAACTCATCCCACTCTCCACTCCCCGCTCCAGGACCCGGGCTCCAGACACAGCTGGTCCCATTCCCTGCTCCCTGCTCCAGGATCCGGGATCCAGACACAGCTCGTCCCTTTCCCCACTCCCCGCTCCAGGATCCAGGATCCAGACACAGCTCGTCCCATTCCCTGCTCCAGGACCCGGGCTCCAGACACAGCTCGTCCCATTCCCCATTCCCTGCTCCAGGATCCAGGATCCAGACATAGCTCGTCCCATTCCCTGCTCCCTGTTCCAGGATCCGGGCTCCAGACACAGC